CACATGCAATAGAAAAGAAAGGCCAAGTCTTAGAGAATACCATAAGAGAAACAGCCCAAGACATAAATGATCTGCTTGAAAGGGAATTTAAAGCTGCAGCTCAAAGAGGTCAATGTTTAGAGGAAACAGCTCGAGACGAATCAAACGACATCAAAGGTCAGCTGGAAAAAGTGCATCAATCCTTAGAGAGGCTGAGCTCCTCCCTTCACAGCTCTCAAACATCGCTAGCATCTGAGGGTAAGTAAAAGGAGACTTTTTGCACTTCTAAACTCATTAGACTTTCGAGTATGTGATACGACAAGGGGAGTGAGGTGATGCATGCCCCGTCCACACTACGCCGGAGGAATTTGAAAACGGTGGTTTCACTCTGAAAACGCATCAGATGTTTTCCGTCCACACTGCGCCGGAGGAATTTAAAAACGCAACAATCACCGCCATTTTGGATTTGTGCTCGAAAAGACTCGGTCAAGGAAATCACATGATCATTGTGACGCCATCGTCTTCGAAAAGCTCCGTTTTCAAAATATTTTCCGTTCACACGAAAACGCAAAGACGGCTTTTTGAAATGCATCTGATTTGAAGAGCGTTTCCAAAAAGTTTCGTTTTCATGACGGATTAGTGTGGACGGTAGGCCTAACCGTTGAAACAAAACTGCGTCTTCAAATTCCTCCGGCGTAGTGTGGACGCTGCCTCTTAGACAGTCCTCCTAGAACACTTTTACAAGCAGCTATATCATCGTGAATTAGATGTCACCAAACGCTTTTCTTGCTCTGTGAACATTATAAAAGTAAGCTAAGATATATTTTTTTTACCTTATAGATGTGCCGGTGCCTGACTTTGTCAGGCAACATATTACTTTTGATGGCAACGTGTGGAGACAGCATTGCCAGCATTTGATGGCAATGTTGAGGCAGCATGGCCGAATGGTTTAGGGCGCTGGTGTGGTCCCGGGTTCAAGGCCTCCGCCCAGCGCACTAGCGGGATTTGTTTCTCGGTAGTCCCGAGTCCAAATCCTCGGTCACGCTTTGTAAATAGCCAACTGGTCTGCCTCCTGCTAGTTGGGATTTTTAACTATGTTGCGTTTATTTGAAATATCTGTTTCCATTGTTTCAGTGGCATGCCTGTAAACTAGCTAAGCTTAGTGCTTGTATAGCTGAGTGCATGACCACTATAAATAAGATTTACATTTTTTTCGAACTAGAAGATGACCTCACTCTTCCCAGCTTCCGTTTAAGACATGGATCTGTATTATACCCGCGTGGTCACGTACCAGTACTCGCTGATTTTGTCAGGCAAATTTTCGTGAAGACGCACAGTTTAAAAACCGTCATTTCAACAGAGATTGAACCGTGACACACTGTCCAGGCTTTGAAGAGAGAAATAAGGGACGAAACAAGAATACCGACCAACCAGCAACACATTACTTTTGATATTGTTCTGCCACTCGAACATAAAATTCATATCTCAGTCTCGCCACCGTGTAATATCCTCTATTTATTATATGGCTTTGGCTTGTGGCCGATATAACGCACGCTCTGATTGGTTAATTGTCACTGAATTGT